ATAATGCCAAACAATGCTCAAACTACCAGACAATTGCACTCATCTCACACACTAGTAAAGTAATGCTTAAGGTTCTCCAAGCCAGGCTTCAACAGTACGTGAACCGTGAACTTTCAGATATTCAAGCTGGTTTTCAAAAAGGCAGAGGAACCAGAGATCAAATTGCCAACATCCGCTGGATCATCAAAAAAGCAAGAGAGTTCCGAAAAAACATCTATTTCTGCTTTATTGACTATGTTAAAGCCTTTGACTATGTGGATCACAATAAACTGTAGAAAATTCTGAAAGAGATGGGAATACTAAGGAAGCTGTGGTACATATACACCATGGAATATTACTCAGCCATTAAAAAGAATTCATTTGAATCAGTTCTAATGAGATGGATGAAACTGGAGCCCATTATACAGAGTGAAGGAAGCCAGAAAGATAAAGACCATTATAGTATACTAACACATATATATGGAATTTAGAAAGATGGTAATGATAACCCTATATGCAAAACAGAAAAAGAGACACAGATGTACAGAACAGAATTTTGGACTCTGTGGGAGAAGGCAAGGGTGGGATGTTTTGAGAGAACAGCATCGAAACATATATATTATCTAGGGTGAAACAGATCACCAGCCCAGGTTGGATGCATGAGACAAGTGCTCGGGCCTGGTGCACTGGGAAGACCCAGAGGGATCAGGTAGAGAGGGAGGTGGGAGGGGGGATCGGGATGGGGAGTACATGTAAATCCATGGTTGATTCATGTCAATGTATGACAAAAACCACTACAATATTGTAAAGTAATTAGCCTCCAACTAATAAAAATAAATGGAAAAAAATAAATTTAAAAAAATAGAGATGGGAATACCAGACTACCTGACCTGCCTCTTGAGAAATCTGTATGCAGGTCAGGAAGCAACAGTTAGAACTGGACATGGAACAACAGACTGGTTCCAAATAGGAAAAGGAGTATGTCAAGGCTGTATATTGTCACCATGCTTATTTAACTTATATGCAGAGTACATCATGAGAAACACTGGGCTGGAAGAAGCACAAGCTGGAATCAAGATTGCTGGGAGAAATATCAATAACCTCAGATATGCAGATGATACCACCCTTATGGCAGAAAGTGAAGAAGGACTGAAGAGCCTCTTGATGAAAGTGAAAGAGGAGAGTGAAGAAATTGGCTTAAAGCTCAACATTCAGAAAACTAAGATCATGGCATCTAGTCCCATCACTTCATGGCAAATAGATGGGGAAACAGCGGCAGACTTTATTTTTTGGGCTCCAAAATCACTGCAGTTGGTGACTGCAGCCATGAAATTAAAAGATGCGTACTCCTTGGAAGAAAAGTTATGACCAACGTAGACATCATATTAAAAAGCAAAGACATTACTTTACCAACAAAGGCCCATCTAGTTAAGGCTATGGTTTTTCTAGTAGTCATGTATGGATGAGAGTTGGACTATAAAGAAAGCTGAGTGCTGAAGAATTGATGCTTTTGAACAGTGGTGTTGGAGAAGACTCTTGAGAGTCCCTTGGCCTGCAAGGAGATCCAACCAGTCCATCCTAAGGGAAATCAGTCCTGAATATTCATTGGAAGGACTGATGTTGAAGCAGAAACTCTGATACTTCAGCCACCTGATTCGAAGAGCTGACTCATTTGAAAAGACTCTGATGCTGGGAAAGGTTGAAGGCGGGAGGAGAAGGGGACAACAGAGGATGAGATGGTTGGATGGCATCACCAACTCAATCAGCATGAGTTTTAGTAAACTCCAGGAGTTGGTGATGGACAAGGAAGCCTGGTGTGCTGCAGTGCATGGGGTCTCGAAGAGTCGGATATGACTGAGCGACTGGACTGAACTAAATACACCCCAGGAGGTCTTTTGTCTTTTACATTTTGATTTTTTAAAAAATTATTTATTTATTTGGCTGTGTCGGGTTTTAGTTGCAGCACATAGGATCTTTAGTTGCAGCATGTAGGATCTAGTTCCCTGAGCACAGTTTGAACCTGGGCCCCCTGTCTTGGAAGCACAGACCCTTAGCCACCGGACCACAGGGAAGTCCCTACATTTTGCTTTGAATTGGTGATTATTTACCCTGAGCATGTCATATATTTCTTCAGCTAATCAGTGGTGTTTAGTCACCCAAGTCTGGTTATCATTTTCCTCACACCTGTCAAGTACCAGCAATATTTCACCAGCTGGTGCATTCCCTTCCACTAGTATCTCATTACAGTCCACCATCAGTTAAGTTACTGCTGCTTCCAAACCCCATGGTCCTGCACTATAATTCTCCCACTCAGGAGAATCCACTCCATGCTGCATCTTTTCTCCCTGAAGACATCTCCAGTATCATAGGGTTTGCTACATCTTATGGTGCAAGTGGCATCCTGCTTGTACCACAGCCCAGACATGCCACAGGGCACTTTGTGTTACTACAGCATGTCAGAGGCTATCTATGCTGCATGTGTGCATGCTAAGTCACTTCAGTCGTGTCTGACTCTTTGCGACCCCATGGACTGTAGCCCACCAGACTCCTCTGTCCATGGGATTCTCCAGGCAAGAACACTGGAGTGGGTTGTCATGCTGTCCTCCAGGGGATCTTTCCAACCCAGGAATCGAACCCATGTCTCCTGAGGCTCCTGCATTGCAGGCTGATTCTTTACCACTCAGCCACCAGGGAAGCCCTCATCTATGCTCCACCTGCACAAATGATGGCTCCTTTTTGCCTTCGGGCTGCTGGGTGGCCCAGCTCCAGAAAGGCAGTAAAGTTTTCTTTGTAGTTTGACTTCTCTGACCCTCTGTTTTAGGTTGGGATCTCTGAAACAGATTTTTCAGGCAGAGAATTGCATGCACAGGCTTATTTGGGAGTGCCTTTGGGATCAACAAATGGTGCTAGTGGTAAAGAATCCACCTGCCAATGCAGGAAATGTAAGATGCTGGTTTGATCCCTGGATCAGGAAGATCCCCTGGAGGAGGGCATGGCAACCCACTCCAGTATTCTTATCTGGGAAATCCCATGGACAGAGGAGCCTGGTGGGCTATAGTGCATGGGCTTGCAAAGAGTCAGATACAACTAAAGCAACTTAGCACACATGCATTGGGATCAACAGCTGTAAGGAAGGCAAAGTTGAGCAGTTGGAGAAGTGGGTCCCCAGTGCAGTTGCATCTGAGGCCTCGGCTGATCCTAGGGAGAGCTTCTAGGGAGATCCTAGGGTGGTCCTTCAGAGTCAGGCTATAATTGAGGGGAAGAAGCTGGCCTTCATACTCACTCACAGACCAGATATAATCCATGGGCTGTCCAAAATAGGTATAACCTTGGGCAGGAAATTTCTCTGTGATAGAAGATAATTCCCCAAGGGACACAGCTGCAATCTGTCAACAGCTGATACTCAGGGTGCATTGGCCCTGAAGAGGAGACCTGAGCAGAGCACCATAGTATCCACTACATATATGGTCAGAAAAGTTTGAAAAAGAAAGTAGTGATATAGTTTACACTCATCATTTTCTAAATGAAAAATGCACAGGTCTAAGAGACTCTCTTCCAGCATCTGTGAGGGGACAGTGTCAGAGATGAAGTGGGAGGTAGGAGGGAAGAATGAAAGAGAGAAGAAAATAGCTTGTGGTCTTTGGGGTATGTCAGTGACATCACCAGAGTCCAGTTGTGCTGCATGTATATCAGAGACCCTGATGGTGTGCATGTAGGCAATCCCAGGAGTGGCTCCTCCCCTCAACCCCTGTCTATGAAAAACCTGATTGGTGATGAACTTCTGTTTGTGGACAAGCCTGTCGGATAGGAATCCTGGGCCTGGTGGAGGAGTCTAGCTGGGGATGGGCCCAGGGACAGTGACTTAGCAATTAGTGATACGCCTACTGCCATTCCTACCCTTCTTCCCTCCTGTAGTTTCCCCTTATCCTCAGTGGCATTTTCCTCCAACCTCATCATGGTTGACTCCAGCTTCTATTGATCCCTCACCAGCCTGTGGCCCTTAGTCTCCTCTTCCTTTTCTGATGTAGCTGCCCACTCATGGCTGCTGTGTTCCTCTCGGTGCACAATGACACATGGTAAATGTGTTCCTCCTTGGGAAAGGACCCAAGCAAAGAGATGCTGCAGCTCACACAGACAGGCACTGACACATACTTGGACATACTCCATATATATATATATATATGGTGGCTCAGCTGGTCAAGAACCTGCCTGCCAATGCAGAGATGCAAGAGATGCAGGTTCATTCCCTGGGTTGGGAAGATCCTCTGGAGAAGGAAATGACAACCCACTCCAGTATTCTTGCCTGGAGAATCCCATGGACAGAGGAGCCTTGTGGGCTGTAGTCCATTGGGTCGCAAAAGAGTTGAACACGACTGAGTATGTGCATACACACACACACACACACACACACACACACACACACACAGATATAGATATGTCCTCTAAGAATCTTTGCCATTTTACAAACCTCCGTGCCATTTCAAAGTATGTTACAGTATACAAAGCACTCCTTGTTTTGAGAAGTTTTTCAAATAGCAGTGTGACAAGCAAACCATACTTTGGGAAATGCCTACACTCTGTTTTAAGAACTTATAATTTGCAATGTCCTTTGACATTTATAGGGCTTCCCTTGTGGCTTAGCTGGTAAAGAATTCGCCTGCAATGTGGGAGACCTGGATTTGATCCCTGGGTTGGGAAGATCCCCTAGAGAAGGAAAAGGCTACCCACTCCAGTATTCTGGCCTGGAGAATTCCATGGACTATATAGTCCATGGGATCGCAAAGAGTCGGACACAACTGAGCAATTTAGTACCTTGACATTTACATACCTCCACAAGGGTTATAACAGACTTCATTGTTCACAAACAACTGTTAGGTTTTTTCCAAAATATTTCAACCATCATAAGTCATTTTATAGTTTCTATAGTGGCACTGAAGGAGCAAAGGGGTCAAAGGACTGGCCTGGGTTTTGTCTTCCTGAGATTTGAGCATTGATAAATGTACTCTGCTTTTCCTCTCCAGGGCGAAATACTTCAAAGGGAAAAAGATCCATGGAGAAATTGACATTAAAGTAGAACAGGTTAGTTGGGGCAGGTGGACCTGGGGGGTCAACTGTCCATACTGCAAACTGAGTGGTCTTTTGTGTGTGATGTGGGTGAATCCCTGACTTTTTTTCCTTCCCAGGCTGAATTCTCTGATCTCAACCTCGTGGCTCATGCCAATGGTGGATTCTCTGTGGACATGGAAGTTCTACGGAATGGGGTGAAGGTTGTGCGGTGAGTGTAAAAAGGTCACCTTGGTATTGTGGGAGAGACATAAGGGCTCCCTTAGAGCTGAGGGAGAGTCCCCACCTCCTCTCCTATCTTTCTGTGAACAAGACAGGCACATTGCAGTAGCCAAGATATGGAGACAACTTAAGTATCCATCAATGGATGAATGGATAAAGAAGAAGTGGTACACATACACACACACACAAAGGGATATTATTCAGCCATGAGAAAGAAAGAAATCCTGCCATTTGTGACAACATGGGTGGATCTTGAGGCCATTATGCTAAGTGAGATAAATCAGACAGAGAAAGAGAAATACTGTATGCTATCACTTATATGTGGATTCTAAAAGACCCAAACTAATAGAAATCACCTTTCTAGAAAGGTGATTGCCAGAGGCTGGGGGAGGGTGTGTAAGAATAGGAGAGATGTTTTAAGAGTACAAGTTTACAACTGGTAGATAAATAAGTCCTAGAGGTCTAATTCAGTATGCATGATATAAACAATAATACTGTATCATAATCAGCAAAGCTCCTATTATAAAAGACTAGATCTTAATTATTCCTACCATGAAGAAAAGAAATGATAATTATGTGACATGGTAAGGGTACTAACTAATGCTACAATGGCAATCATATTATAATATATTAATATAAATGTATCAAATAACATGTTATATACTTTCCCTGGTGGCTCAGTGGTAAAGAACCTGCCTGCAATGCAGGAGACCTGGGTTCCATCCCTGGGTCGAGAAGATCCTCTGGAGAAGGGATTGGCTACCCACTCCAGTATTCTTGCCTGGGAAATCCCATGGACAGAGGAGCCTGGTTGGCTACAAAAGGGTTGAAAAAGAGTTGGACACAACCTAGCAACTAAACAACAACAATACACCTTACACTTATATAATAATTGACATATAACATGTCAATTATATTCCAGGTTTTTTTTTTTAGTTCTACCAGTTTATTGCTACCAACCCATCTCCCTCCACCCTCGTGCACACATGCTCAGTCATGTAATCCCATGGACTTCAGCCCGCCAAACTCCTCTGTCCGTGGATTTTTCCAGGCAAGAATACTGGAGTGGGTTGCCATTTCCTTCTCCAGTATTCCAGTTTTTTAAAAGAACTTAGGAACAGAATGTGGAGAAGGCAATGGCACCCCACCCCAGTACTCTTGCCTGGAAAATCCCATGGACAGAGGAGCCTGGTAGGCTGCAGTCCATAGGGAGTCGGTCACGACTCAGCAACTTCACTTTCACTTTTCACTTGCATGCATTGGAGGAGGAAATGGCAACCCACTCCATTGTTCCTGCCTGGAGAATCCCAGGGACAGGGGAGCCTGGTGGACTGCCATTTATGGGGTCGCACAGAGTCGGACATGACTGAAGCGACTTAGCAGCAGCAGCAGGAACAGAATGAAAGGAGATAGCTTCTCTTCTGAAGAGCCAAGGATCTCAGAAAACAACAAGCCAAATTTTTCAGTGACTAATTCAGCAAGCATTTCTTGAGCATCTACTGCATACCAGGTGTTGCTCTCAGCATTTCACATTCAACAAATATTTACTGAGTATCTGTTGTGTGCCAGGAGCTGTTCTTCATGCTGAGGTCCTGGAAGTGAACAAAACAGATCCCAAAAAGACCCCCAAAAAAATCTTCTGCTCTCATGAAGCTTACATCCTACTGTGGGATACACATAATAAACAAAGAAGAAAATGTCAAAGTGCTAAAAATATATGTGTGTATATCAGCAAAGGGCTGTAGTGATTGTTGGATGGTGAAGAGTCTGCAGTTTGGTTGGTGTAGACCAAAAGAGTGAGAGCTATTTTAGGAAAGACCTGAAGGAGGTGGAAGAGTGGTGCATGCAGAAATCTAGGGAGGCTACATTTCAGGCTGAGGGAATAACCCATGTAGAGCTCTGAGGCTGGAATTTATTCTGGGCAGCATCCTTTGTGTAAAGTGGTACTCTGAGAGATTGTGATGGGGAAACTGTGAGAGCTGAGTAGGCAAGCTGCAAGCTTACCTTGGTGAGGAAAAGAGCAGGCAGGAAAGGCTTAAAAGGGAGTCACCAGATGAGGAGAGGTTAGGAAGGGCGCATGTGGTGGAGGGAATAGCTTGTATATGTGGCTGAGGTAAGAAACCACAATGCCGTTTCTAGGAGCAGTGGAGATTTCAAAACTTGATCTTTATTCTAAAGGTGGTGGGGGGCTTCTGGGGGGACCCTCAACACTCTTACCCTTGCCACCCCAGGTCCCTGAAGCCAGACTTCGTGCTGATCCGCCAGCATGCCTTCAGCATGGCACGGAATGGAGACTACCGCAGTTTGGTTATTGGGCTGCAGTATGCCGGAATCCCCAGCATTAACTCTTTGCATTCTGTCTACAACTTCTGTGACAAACCCTGGGTGGTAAGTGACAGGAAGGGTGCTACTGGCAGAGGGAATAGCTTATACATGCATGCGGGAGCTTGAACCCACTGTGATTTGGGGGATCCGAGGAAGCTTGGAACCTTGAAGTCCCAGCTTACAGACTCCCTCTAGGTGAAGGGACTTGCTGACTTGTCTCTCCTGGCTCTCATAGTTTGCCCAGATGGTTCGACTGCACAAGAAACTGGGGACAGAGGAATTCCCTCTAATCGATCAGACCTTCTACCCCAATCACAAAGAGATGGTGAGTCTAGGGGAAGGGAGTGGGCAGAAGGGAAAAGCATCATGCCTATTGCAATAATATTGCCAATGGATGTGTTGCTGGTGGAATGCCATCAAGAGAGTACAGCTGACACATGCACATGGAGGGCGATGTTGCTTTGTGATAGGGTTTGTTAATACCATAAGTTTATATATGTAGTTACAAGTATGATTTAAATAATTGATCCTGCTATAGTATCTATTCTCACCAGGATTAAGAAACTGATTTCCGATGTAAACAGAATTAATGTAATGATTCAGGTTACGTTACATATACAAATCAAGGCATTGTTACTAACATTATCAAATATTCCTCCTGATAGAAATGTTAACAGTGTTTCAAATTAGGATTGCCAGTAAAGATTATCAGTAGCAATGTTATAAATTAAATTCTATGCAAATAGAAAATTTGACTGTTGGCTACTATTATCACAAATATAATCACTAACATTATAAATTATACCCATTCTTTCAAACTATTCTTATTGATGTAAATTATGAGTACAAGTGTTATAAATTATAGTTCCAAATAGAAGTTGAGTAATCATTTCTAGTACCACTGAAGATTATAACTATTATTTAAATTATTATCAATATATAAATTATGCTCTAATACAAATTATAAGTCCCTGTTTTGAATTATATCATACTTAATAATAAAAATTATATTATCATTACTAATATCATCAAATATTACAACTAAGATTATAATTTATTACCAGTGTTATAAATTAAGGTTATCAATATAAGTGATTAGAACCTATTTTGTTAATTAAGGTATAATTACTAAAAGAAATTAAGCTATTAGTACAAACATTGTAACATACTGTTATAATTTATTGCCAATGTTATAAATTAAGATTACTAATATAAATTATGAATATATATATTTTAAGCAATCCTACAGTTACTAATAGAAATCACTATTAATATGGTTAATAATCCTACTGATATCATAAATAGTTACTAAGATTAAAGTTATGATTACTAATATGTTATGAGTACAACAGTTATTAATCAAATTTTAGTTCCAAATAGAAATTGAGTCACTGTGCCTAGTGCCATCAAATTTTATAACTAATTTTACAAGTTTTTTATGATTTTATAAGTTGTGTTTACTTGTGTAAGTTATCATCACCAGTTTTATGAATTAAATTACAATTAAATATCAATATTGACCCAGCTTTATCAACTTAATAAACATTGATTAAAGTAGTAAAAATTCTTACAAGTATTACTAATTATGGTCACTGATACAAATCAGCAGTGTTATGAATTAACCTTACTTGTAGATGAAAATCAAATCATTACTTTGAAACCAAATTTGTTCATCATTATTATTATCTTATATTCATTGAAAAACTATGGTTAAGAACATGGACCCTGAAGTCAGAATTTCTGTGTTGTAATCCTAGCTCCACAACTTACTAACTTCTGAACATAAGAAACATTAGTTAAATGCTCTGTGCCTCAGTCTTCCCATCTGTAAAATGTGGGTAATAATAGTTTCTGCCTCATAGAATTAACGTGAGAATTAAATTATTTAACGAACATAAAGTGGTTAGAACAGTGCATCTGGCATATATACTAACTGCTACCTAAGTGTTGATGAACACTTGTTTGTTGTCCCTTCTGAATGTGAAGTGTTTTTATCATGGAAGGATGTCGAACTCTATCAAATGTTTTTTCTGTGTTTATTGATATGATATGGCTCTTGGCCTTTATTCTATGAATATGGTGTATTACATTAACACGTGCATTCCTGGATCAGATCCTACTTGATCTGGCATATAATCCTTTTTATATTCTGTGGGATTCAGTTTGTTAGTGTTTTGTTGAAAATGATGCTGTCAGTAATCATAAGGGACATTGATCTGTAGTTTTCTTACAATGTCTTTGTCTGGTTTTGGTATTGGGGTAATAGTAACCTCATACAGTGAAATAGACAGTGTTCCCTCATCTTCTATTTTTAGGAAGAGTTAATGAAAGATTGGTACTAATTTTATTTTAAATTTTTGGTATACTTCACCAGTGAAGAAGTTTTTTTTTATTTTCTAATTCAATCTCTTCATTTATTGTAGGTCTATTCAGATTTTTCATTTCTTCTTGAGTTAGTATCAGAAGTTTGTGTCTTTCTAGGAATTTGTCTATTTCAGCTAGGTTTTCTAGTTTATTAGCATAGAATTGTTCATAGTACTCACTTATAATCCTTTTTATTTCCATAAGGTTAGTAATTATGTCTCTTTCATTCCTAATTTTAGTAGCTAGTTTTCTCTTTTTTAAAATCTTAGTCTAAAGTTTTGTCTATTTTGTTGATCTTTTCAGAGAATCAATTTTGGTTTCACCAATTTTCTCTATTTTCAACTTCATTTATTTCCACCCTAATCTTTATTTCTTCTTTTCTTCTGCTTGCTCTGGTGTTTGTTTTTGTCTAATTTCTTAGGAAGATTATTGGCTATTGATTTGATATTTTTCTTCTTTTTATTATTTTTTCTTCTCTTTAAAAATAGAAGTTTACAACTATGGATTTACCCATAAGCAATTTTTGTACGTTGTCTTCATTTTCTTTCGTCTCGAAGTATCTTCTAATTTTCATGATGACTTCTTTGACCCATTGTTTATTTGAGAGTATGTTGTTTACTTTCCACATATTTATGAATTTCCCAAATTTCTTTTTGTTATTTGTTTCTAATTTCATTCAGTTGTAGTCAGAGAACATATTTTGTATGGTTCAATCCTTTTACATTATTGAAATTTGTTTTGTGGCTTAACATATAGCTTGTCCAAGAGAATGTTCTATGTACACTTGAGAAGAATATGTATGCCGCTGTTGTAGGATGGAGTGTTCTATAGACGTCTGTTAGGTCTGGTTGGTTTATAGTGCTGTTCTGGTCTTCTCTTTCCTTGTTTATCCTCTGTCTAGTTGTTTTATGCATTATTTAATGTGAGGTATTAAAATCTCCAGCAATTATTGCTGAATTGTCCATTTCTCCCTTTCAGTTCTGTCTGGTTTTTTGTTTCAATATGACTCTGTTGTTAGATGCATATATGTTTATAATTGTTAAATCTTGATAGATTGACTCTTTTATCAATATAAAATGTCCTTTTTAATCTCTAGTAACAATTTTTGTTCTAAAGTCTATTTTATCTGATGTTAGTATAGCCATGCCAGTCCTCTTTTGGTTACTATTTGTATGGTAAATCTTTTTCCATTCATTTACTTTCAACTTATTTGAAAGTGTAGTTCAACTTGTTTCTAAAGTGTATCTCCTATAGATAGCATATTTTGGGTCATGTTTTTCATCTGTTTTGCCTATCTCTGCCCTTCAATTGGAATGTTAAATTAATTTACATTTAATGTAATTACCAATAAGGTAAAATTTATGTTTATAATTTTGCTATTTGTTTTCTATATTTCTTGTGCCTTTTTTTGTTCCTGTATTTCTCTGTTAATGCATACCTTCATGTTAAATAGATATTTTCCAGTGTGCCATTATATTTCTCTTGATATTTCTTTTCCATATTTTTAAAAAAATATTTTCTTTGTAGTTTCCCTGGGGATTACAATTAACATTTTAATTTATACCACTCTCATTTTAATTAAAGCCAGTTTAATTTCAATAGTATTAAAAAAAACTTTGCCTCTTTATAGCTTTATTCACTCACTCTGCGCTTGTGCTATTGTTGTCATACAAATTACATCTTTACCCATCATATGCCCATGAATATAGACTTATGAATTATTACTTGATGCAGTTGTGTTTTAAATCAGATAGGTGGGGGAAAGTGTCAGAAACAAAAAAAGACATGACAGTATGCATTCATACTGTTACAGGTGCTCATTTCTTCACATTTTTACAACTTTGCTTAGCCTTCACTTCCTGCCTGTGCAGAGCCTCAGGGTCAGCCAGAGATCCTATTCATGCACACAGGCTTATACATATTTATGGCTTTTTAGATTCCTAGGAATATGTCACAACTTTTCAAAGACTCCTATGGATGTCTTATTCCCCAGATTTTTCTGTTAAGTCTTTTGGTCAGCTTGTTTGTCTTAACTGCAGTTGTTGCCTCAAGCAGCTGCTATGTTAAATAATTGCTGCTGATTATTTTTGAAAAGCATCCCCCCAAAAAACTCCTCACATCAGGTGAAATAGACAAGTCTTGTGTGTGAAGTTTTCTAGGGAAGTCCCAGACAGGTCAAATAAAGATAGTTCTTTGGGTATGGGGCTTTGGAGGACTCCAACCCTGTTCTGCTTCTTCCATTGGCTGCTAGCCTGCTAATTTTCATCAGAATTGCAAGGCTGTTGATTTTCAAATCTGTTGGGGAGGTGGAAAGAACAGAAAAAGTTCAAATGTCACAAAACTTAACTGTTCTTAGTGAGATTCAGCCTTTTTCTTGAATAAATACTTCTTGAATTATTGTAAACCTATGCTCAATTTTCAGAGTTCTGACAAAGTTCATTGTGACCACTTTTGCCAGTATTCTCATTGATTTTACAGAGAAGAAGACTTTTATAGGCATTTACTCTGGCACTTCTGCTGACTTCTCCTCCAGGTATATCTTGTTCTTTCCCTGCCCTGGGATAATGGTATTTCAGAGTCAGGATCTGGGAGCTAGATCGTTGCTACTGGAACATCCTTGCTTCTAGATTGTCTCATTGTGCAGAGCTAGGAAATATATTTTTGTTGCTGTTTAGTTGCTCAATTGTGTCCAACTCTTTGTGACCCCATGGACTGTAGTCTACCAGGTTCCTCTGTCCATGGGATTTTCCAGGCAAGATTATTAGAGTGGTTTATGACATATATACATATGAAATTTTATATATACACATGTATAAAATCATATGTAGTGTGCTCATACTGATACTTTTTTTTTGCCATGCCGCACAGCTTGTGGGATCTTAGTTCCCCAACCAGGGATGGAGCACAGACCCCCAGCAGTGAAAGTGCCAAGTCCTAACCACTGTACCACCAGGGAATTCC